GGCCGAACTGCTTTGGTGTTACCAAGTGGCAGACGAATTGAATTCATGTCGGACGGACTGATTTCATTATTCCGAACTGAAGCACCATTGCCCCACCTAGTAGAAGAGCCGAACTCATCCGCCATTCACGGCGGATGCAATGGCCCGTACTCCATATTTATCATGCCTCACAATTCGCCTGGCCACATCCCTGCCAAGATCTTTTAGGAGATCTTTCTAAAGTCAAATCTCTAACTGATTGATGGGACGTATGGCAAAGTACAAAACGGTCAACTCAGCTGCTATGTCAGGAACCATTTAATGTATGCCAACCTAGGGATTGACACCTATGAAAAGATGGGTCATCCGGGATCTGAAGCCACGTGTCACATCATTTAACGGTTCATCTCTTCCCTTAGTATAAATACCCTCATACTGGTAAGAGTTAGGGATTCCCACTCTAATCTTTGCATTAGCCTTTAACTCCAGAAAGCCTTTCATTACACTTACACATTTTCACAACCACGTTCCGGTGACCACTTCATCGTCGGACACCACCTTCCGGTTGAACAAAATACTGACTTGACAGTCGGAGTGCTCGCGGCCGCCTCCACCCCCCTCGAAAAAGGCCACGAGTGACTAACGGTGTGCTACCGTGTGCAGGGAGGAGCTTACGTGGAATCTCGTTCTGTTGGCCACATGTCAGAGCCATTTTTCGAGGTTAACAATATTTAACAAAAATATTATTCCGAGTACGTAAGTGGATAATATTATAGAGTAATGATTTATGTTCAATGATTTATAAATGGTAAATCATCCAAAATAATCAACATACTCGTCTAAAACTTTAATTTGTCTCAATTATGTTACTGAACTTTAAATTATCCTCTATTTGACAATTATTATTTTAAAACTCTTCAATTCTCGTACTCATTTTCAACAACACATTTATACAATAAAATATTTTGTACGTAAATCCCAAAAAATTTCACTTTTTAACCACACATTCTCCAAGAAATCACTATTTAAAACTCGGTTTTCTCAAAATAATGTTTGTCAAACAAGGGCTTAGCATCGAATATGACTACTATGTCACACTTCATTGCATATCATCCCAAACTAGTAGGATTTGCTTAGTAGTGAGCGCATAATAAAAAGCGAAAAATCATAAAATGAGGGTTATGACAATATCTTTAGATTAAAAGATTTAAATTCGTCATTTCTAT